CTTGACTGTCCTGGAACTTGCTTTGAAGACTGAATTTGAACTCAGAGATCTGCATGCTTGTCTCCTAAGCACTGGGATTAAATGTCTCATATTAAGCATGGATTACATTGATTGATTTCTGTATATTGAACCATCCCTGCATTCCTGGGAGAAAGCCTACTAGATCATGATGGATAATTGCTTTGGTGTGTTCTTGTATTTAGTTTGAAAGAATTTAATTGAGTATATCTGAACAGATATTTGTAAGGGATATTGGTCTGAGATTGTCTTTGTTTAGTCTGTGTGGTTTAGGTATGAGCATAATTCTGGATTGATAGAACAAATCGGGTAGTGTTTCTTCTATTTCTATTTCATGGAATAGTTTAAGGAGAATTGGTATCAGGTCTTCTTTGAAGGTCTGATAGAATTCTGCACTAAAACCATCTGGTCCTGTGTTTTGGTGGGGAGAATGTTATTGACTGCCTTTGTTTCTTTAGGGGATATGGGACTATTTAGGTTGTTTATATAATCCTGATTTAGCTTTGGTATCTGGTATCTGTCTAGAAAATTGTCAATTTCATCCAGATTTTTCAGTATTGTTGAGAGTATAGGCTTTTGTAGTAGGGTCTGATGATTTTTTTTTTAGTTTCCTCATTTTCTGTTGTTATATCTCCCTATTCAGTACTGATTTTGTTATTTGGATACTGTCTATGTGCCCTCTGGTTAGTCTGCCTATGAGTTTATCTATCTTGTTGATTTTCTCAAAGAACGAGCTCCTGGTTTTGTTGATTCTTTGTATCATTCATTTTGTTTCTACTTGGTTGATTTCAACCTTCAGTTTGACTATTTCCTGCAGTTGACTCCTCTTTGGTGTATTTTCTTCTTTTTGTTCTAGAGATTTCAGGTGTGCTGTCAAGCTACTAGTATATGCTTTCTCCAGTATCTTTTTGTAGGCATTTAGAGCTATCAATTTTCCTATTCACACTGCTTTCATTGTGCCCCCACAAGTTTGGTATGATGTGTCTTAATTTTTATTAAATTCTAAAAAGTCTTTAATTTATTTCTTTATTTCTTCCATGACCAAGTTATCATTGACTAGAATGTTGTTCAGGTTCCATAGGTAAAATCCCCTTAATTTTGTAATTATTTAAGAACAACCGTAGTCTGTGGTGATCTGACAAGGTGCATGGGATTATTTCAATTTTCTTGTATCTGTTAAGGCCTCTTATGTTCAATTTCGGAGAAGGTACCATGAGGTGCTGAGAAGAAGGTATATTCTTTTGCTTTTTGATGGAATGTTCTTGGGATATCCATTAAATTCATTTGTTTCTTAACTTCCAGTAGTTTCACTGTATCTCTTTAGTTTTTGTTTCCATGAACTGTCAATTGATGAGAGTGGGGTATTGATGTCTCCAAGTATTATTGTGTGAGGTGCAATGTGTGCTTTAAACTTTAGTAAAGTTTCATTTATGAATGTCAGTGCCCTTGCATTTGGAGTATACACGTACAGAATTGAGAGTTCATCTTGGTCGAATTTTCCTTTAAGGAGTATGAAGTTTTCTTCCTTATCTTTTTTGATAACTTTGGGTTGAAAGTCGATTTTATTCAATATTAAAATTCCTACTCCAGCTTGTTTCTTGGGACCATTTGCTTGAAAATTGTTTTCCAGCTTTTTATTCTGAGGTAGTGCCTGTCATGGTCACTGAGGTGAATTTTTTGTATACAACAATATCGTGGGTCCTGTTTACGTATCCAGTCCATTAGTCTATGTCTTTCTATTGGGGAAATGAGTCCATTGATGTTAACAGATATTAAGGAAAAGTGATTGTTGCTTTCTGGTATTTCATTATTAGAGGCAGAGTTATGTTTGTGTAGCTTCTTCTTTTGGATTTCTTGGAAGTAGATTATTTTTTGTTTTTTCTAGGATATAATTTTCCTCCTTGTGTTGGTGTTTTTCCTATGTTATGCTTTTCAGGGCTGGATTTGAGAAAAGATACTGTGTAAATCTGTTTTAGTCACGTAATATCATGGTTTCTCTATCTAAGTTAATTGAGAGTTTTGCTGGGTATAGTAGCCTGGACTGGCACTTGTGTTCTCTTAGGGTCTGTATGACATCTATTCAGGGTCTGCTGGCTTACAGAGTCTCTGTTGAAAAGTCTGGTGTAATTCTGAAAGGTCTGCCTTTATAAGTTACTTGACCTTTTTTCCCTTGTCACTTTTAATATTTTTTCTTTATTTTGTGCATTTGGTGTTTTGATTATTATGTGATGGGAAAAATTTCTTTTCTGATCTAGCCTATTTGTAGTTCTATAGTCGTTTTGTATTTTCTTAGGCATCTCTTTCTTTAGGTTAGGCAAGTTTTCTTCTATAATTTTTTTGAACATATTTACTTGCCCTGCAATATGGGAATTTTTTGCTCTCTTTTATACCTATTATCCTTAGGTTTGGTCTTCTCATTGTGTCCTGGATTTCCTGGATGTTTGGGTTAGTATCTTTTTGCATTTTCTTTGACAGTTATATCAATGTTTTCTATGTTGTCTTCTGCACCTGAGATTCTCTTTTCTATCTCTTGTATTCTGTTGGTGAAACGTCCATTTATGACTCCTGATCTCTTTCCTAGGTTTTCTATCTCCAGTGTAGTCTCCCTTTGTGATTTTTGTACTGTTTCTACTTTCATTTTTTTATGTCCTTGATGTCTTCGTTCAATTCCTCCACATATTTGGTTACGTTTTCTTGTAATTCTTTAAGGGATGTTTGTGTTTCCTTTATCCCCTCTTTTTGTTTAACAAAATAAGATTTTAAGGTACGATGTGCACGCTCAACAATGCCTTGACCCTGGGGATTATAAGGAAGCCCTGTCCCATGGGTCACTTGCATCTGACAGCAAAATTGTTTGAACTTTTGAGAGGTATATGCCGGGCCATTATCTGTTTTTAGAACATTGGGCTTGCCCCAGGCACTCCAAGCCTCCAGACCATGTTGAATGACGTAAGAGGCCTTTTCTCCTGACAAGGGAGTAGCGCAGAGTACACCAGAGCAAGTATCAATAGAGACATGTAAATACTGGGATTTACGAAACGATGGAACATGAGTAACGTCCATCTACCACACCTGCAAGGGGCGAATTCCTCGAGGGTTCACACCCACATGGGGCACAGGCAAAAACTGGCAACAATTTTTACATTGTGTAACTATGTCTCTGGCCTGTTGTCTAGAGATTATGAAGCGATGTCTTAGCGTCTCCGAAGTGACATGAAATGATTCATGAAATTTTTGTGCCCAAGCAAACTCAGAGTCTTGGAGCACTGCAGCAATCAAGCGTGTAGCCTGATCAGCTGGTGCATTACCTCGTGCCATGGGTCCTGGAAGTCCATAATGAGCCCGAATGTGCGTAATAAATATTGGGGCATGGCGCCTAAGGAGCACGGCCTGTATCTGATTAAAAATTTTTGCAACTTTACTAGTATGTTTTATGAGGCCGGCTGTCTCCAGAATTTTTACTCCATTAACCATGTAACTCGAGTCAGAAACTATGTTTAATGGTTCTTGAAAGGTATTTAAAACCTCTAGAACTATTAGGCACTCTACAACCTGGGGTGAGGTCTCTTCAAAATGTTTGGTAACTGTTTGTCCTTCTATAACATAGGATCCTATTCCCGTTTTAGAGCCATCAGTATAAACAACCCTTGCCTGTGGAATTGGCCTATCAGCCGTGTTTCGTGGAAATACCATGGCCTGGGCTTCGGCAAACTGTAGAATAGGATCCTTAGGAAAATGATTATCAATGACACCCTGAAATGAAGTTACTAAGATTGCCCAATTGTCAGAGGTAGTGCTTAGGACCTGTACCTGATGTGCGGTATAAGGCATGACCAAGGTATCTGGTTGGCGGCCAAAATGAGTAATCACAGCTTTTAAGCCCCGTATTGCTAGATGTGCTACTGCATCGGGATACCATTCAATAATTTTTACTGGGGAGGCATGTGGATGTACCCACAATAGTGGTCCACCTTGCCACAAGACAGCGGTGGGTAAAAGCTTAGTTTTCAACACACATAACTGAAATGGCCCATCCTCATCAATTCTCTGTAAATGAGCTTCTTGAATAGCCTGCTTCAGCTGCTGTAAGACCTGCCGTGCGGCAGGGGTCAATGTCCTAGGGGAGCTAATATGAGGGTCTCCTTCTAGGATATCAAACAGCGGCTTCAAATCAGCCGATGGAATCCTCAAATATGGCTTAAGCCAATTTATGTCTCCTAAAAGTTTCTGAAAATCATTTAAAGTCTGTAATTGATCCTTACAGATTTCAAGTTTGTGTGGAACAATCATTTCTGGATAAACCATTGCTCCTAAAAAGGATCCAACATCAGCCACTTGCACCTTATCGGTGGCTATATGCAAGCCCCATTGCTGTAATTGAGCCAATAGCATAGGATACACCTTTTGTAATACCCTCATTTCTTGGTGGCATAGAAGGATGTCGTCCATATAATGGACCAACAACAGGGTTGGAAACTGTTTCCTGACAGGTTCAAGGGCCCTCTGGACATAAAGCTGACACATGCTGGGGCTATTTGCCATGCCTTGTGGCAAAACCTTCCACTGATATCTCTTATCAGGTTGCCAATGATTAATAGCTGGTATCGAAAAGGCGAAGCGAGGTCTATCTTGGGGGGCTAATGGGATGGAGAAAAAGCAATCTTTAACATCTATAATAAAGGTCTTCCAGCCCTTGGGTAGGGCCAACAACAAAGGCAGACCTCTCTGTACAGCACCAAACAACTGCATTTGTGCATTGATGGCTCTGAGGTCATGAAGCAATCTCCATTTTCCCGATTTCTTTCTAATCACAAAGATTGGAGTATTCCAGGGAGAGGTGGATGGCTCTAAATGTCCCAATTTTATCTGTTCTTCCACTAGTTGCATAGCTGCACCCAATTTTTCAGAGGACAAAGGCCACTGGGGAACCCACACGGCTTCCTCTGAGAGCCAAGTTATAGGCTTAGACTCTCCAGCAGCCCCTAGGAAAAACCCAGGCCCTTCTTGTCTGACTGAGATACAGGGGAGATGGGATCAGGTCTGCCTTGTTCCCTCGCCCCTAGTCCTCTACCCTCTCGATAGCCCATATGAGACATCATGTTAATGGCCTGTGGAGAATAGGTGTCAGTCAGCCGTAAATTTAGTTGTTGTAACACATCTCGACCCCATAGGTTGACTGGCAATGGAAGAACATATGGGGTAAAAGTTCCAATCTGGCCCTCGGGGGCTTCCCAACAGAGGGTCTGTGAACTGACTGAGGGGTTGGCTTCATATCCCAGCCCTTGTAAGGAGTGGGATGATTGAGTGACAGGCCAAGCCTTAGGCCACCAATTAGCAGAGATGATACTCTTATCAGCTCTAGTATCTAGGATGCCAGAAAACTGTTTACCTTCCACTTTTAATGTTAAAGTGGACCTGGTCTGTAAATCCATTATTAAATGGGCCTGATCTATCCCTGATGACCCCAGAACCCCCTCTCGGTCTTTGTCAGTAGAAGGAAATTTATCTTGAAGGCTGGGAAGCAAGACCAACTGTGCGATACGATCTCCTGATGATATGGAGAAGACTCCTTTAGGACTAGACCAAAGAACTTGAAGCTTATGTGTATAACCAGCATCTAAAATCCCTGGGTGGATGATAAGACCTTTCAGTGTTAAGGAAGGGCGACCTATAATGAGTCCCACACTACCATTTGGCAGAGGTCCTTGAAAACTAACTGGAACAGGTTGGGCCACCATTTGCGGCATCAATAAGAGTCCGGTCGTGGCACGGAGGTCCAGTCCTTCGGAACCTGTGTAGGCTCGGCAGCAATCCAACCTCTCTGATGGGGGCTTCGGGCTCCATATCTTTTGGGGCCCTGTGCCCTGGGCCTGAATGACCGTTTTTTGGAGACTCATTTTCTGTTCTGGTAGTAACATCAGCGGGGAGTAAGTGACCCTGCAAGTCTCTGGTGGATCTACACTCGCCCACCCAGTGGTATCCCTTCTTACATCTTGGGCAGAGGCCGGGCGGTCTTTTTGGCTTATTTTGTGGGTGGCGGCAGTCTTTCTTTAGGTGGCCTGGCTTTCCGTACCCATAGCAAACCTTTTGCAGAGAGTTGTCACCCTTTGTTTGTAGGATGGCAGCAGCCAGTCCCGCATTAGTCAAGGGACCTCCGATGCCTCTACATGATTTTATCCAATCGGCCAGCCCTTTGCTCTTACGAGGCCTTATAATGGCCTTGCATTCTGGGGTGGCATTCTCAAACACTAGTTGCTCTATAAGGATTTTTATTCTCTCCATGTCTCCAAACATCTTTGTGGCAGTATCTGTCATTTGTGCAACAAAATCTGAGAAGGACTCTTGGGGCTCCTGGAGTACCCTGGTTAATTGGCCCTGAGACTCTCCTTTTCTAGAGAGTCCTGTCCAGGCTTGAACCGTGGCAGCGGCAATCTGAGCATACGCCCCCCAGTCTTACTCAGTCTGATTATTAGCATATTGCCCTTGGCCAGTCAAAAGGTCATATGTCCAAAGGGCTTGATTTCCAATTAAAAGAACATTAGATTTGGCTTGTGCTTGGAGAGCATCCTGCCACAGGGCCTTCCATTCCATAAATTGTCCTGAGCTATTAAGCATTGCCCTTGCGGTGGTTTGTCAGTCACTTGGCGTTAAGGCCATGTTGGCGAGTTGCTCAACCTGCATGATTGTAAAACTGGCATCTACCCCATATTTGCAGACAGATTCTGCAAGTTTCTCTGGAACATTAAATTCAACAGGAGCGTGAATTCGTCCGCCTTCAGCCCCTTCATATACCAGGAAAGCCATTCGAATTTTCTGACTAACCTCGGGTGAAAAGAAGGAGTCTGCACGCCGTCCCACATAAGGCAGGGGCGCACTTGGAAGAGTGGCTGGCAATTTTATAGATTTAGGGCCTGCCACCGCTGGGTCTGTATGTTTTCCCTTTCCATCCTCTGCCAGCGGCTGCTCACCTGGATGATATCTGTCCTCCTCATATCGAGCAGCCTCTTCTTCCAAATTCTCTTCCTCCAAAGGCCTAAGGCCCTCAGTCTCAGAGGAGTCTATTTCAAGGGCCTCTAAGTCTTTTAATGGGTACAATGGTCTAGATTTGCCTTCTTTTTTTATCGCCTTGCACTTCTCTCCCAGAGCGTACTTGCTCTTTCCTAACTCCTCAGCAGGTTCCTCACCTTTCGAGGGGTCTAAATTCTTAGCATTCTTTGATTTCCTTTTGCGCGCACCACTTCTCTTTTCTCGATCAGATTCTGACATGCTAGATTGTACTTCCTGCAACACCTCCTGCCCTGCCTTTACCGCTGCACGGCACTGCTCGTCCTTAAGGTCGCCCTCCTCCAAAGCTCGATCTACGCAAAACGAAACGAGCAGAAAGAGAAAGAGGGTGAATACCACTAAAAAAAAAGCAGCAGCTGCCTCGGTCACCTGTGAGGCAAGAAGAGAGAGCATACCTTTCTGATCCTTACCGTAGGCTGCAGTTCTGGATCCTCCCACGAACGGGGGTCTCCCTCAGTGCCTGGCGATGGTTCGGCATGATCCCGGGTTTCGGCACCAGCTGTGACCCGCGTCACTTTCTCGCCAGCAAGAATGGACTCGAACGTCAGGATCCTTCTGCAGCAAGCTTTTTTGAAGCTGAAGAGAGGAAAGACTCCGAGGGGAAGAGGAGCTCTTCTTATATACCCATTGGGTCGGCGTGTCCCTACTCTACTGGCTGATGCATCTCGGCAGGTATGACGAGTCAGGCTGCGTCAGCTTTTGACAGTTACCGGCTGCTCAGGCATCCATCTTACTGGTGTTTAATGGCGATTTCAGGAGGGAGACTACGCATGCGCGGCAGCGCACCACAGTTTATCAGAGTGTGCTCAGCTGTTTCAGGCTGTTGAAAACAAGTCTCTTGTCAGGGTATATGGCCTGAGATGGCTGCAAAGATGATAGCTGCTTTCGGCTAGGAGTCGGCTCCCAACACTTCCCCACCCACACACACATTTTAATGAGGTATGTTGATTAGGAGATACAAAGGGGGTATTTATTTATTTATTTATTTATTTAATATACCAGTTCCTTCTAGTGGTTCCCCTTAAACACAGTCCATGCATCCATTTTCCTTCCTTCTTTGCTGAGA